GGCTGTCCCTCATATGCGAATATCTTCGAATGGCGGAATGCGTCCTCCAGCTATCGCCAATATAGCGACCACACCTGTCACACCTGTCTCGCAGCAATCGTCTCCTCCACGTCCACCGAGCACTCCTTTATCAAATGGAGTCAATGGTGTTCACTCACTTCCCGATATCGATGTAAAGATGTCCACAAACTCCAATGGGATATCAAACAACGATTCCGCCTCACCAATCGTTCAAGCGACCGTCAACGAAGTGAACTTGTCACCGGTCGCAAACGCCCAGCCAATGCAACCGCAGGTTGGGTCTCCTGCTCGACAGAAGGCTGAGTTGCAGCAGCACCCTCCTCCTGCCCCCGCAAACGGCTACCATATCCCCATGAATGGTTATCAATATGCACACCCACGCCAACACAATGGCATGCCTATGCAGCATATGCAGAATCTGAAGATGGTGTATCCTCCTGGTCAAGATATTAACGGGATGCATCCTAACGCGGGCCGTCCGCTGGCCAATTCATACATGGGCCACGTTATCGCACCAGGCACCCATTTTAATATGCAACTCGGAGCGGGCGCGAACGCGAATTTGAAGTTGCCCGCAGGACGTCAATGGACCGCAGTTACTTCACCATCACAGCAGCCGACACCTCTTGCAAACACAGCGGACGGTTTAACTGGAGCTGTACCAATGAGTTCCAGTCCTAGCACTACCCATACAACGCCTGGCACTCAACCCGCCCGTACCCCTTCTGCCAATGGGTCGCGTCCAGCGACCCGAACAAGCAGCGTTGGCAATGTGCCAGTCGGCCACATGATGAACGCTGGACAATACACCACTCATTCGCTTTCCCCTCACCTCCAGCATAGTCCGTCGCCACTACTATCTTCTGCGCTCGCGCTACCTTCACATCAGTCACCCCCGCGGCCTCCTATGACGCCGACTATGAAGATGGCTTCCCCATCGTTACAGCATCAGCAACAGCCTGTGGGTAGCTCTCAGGGGGGATACTAGCTAGGACATGTTGGCTTTCTCAGTAACTTTTTTTTTCGTTTCTGATTCGCTTCTTTTGCTCTCCTCTTTGTCGTTTTGGCTACCCCATATCGTACCATTCCGTTTTATGTGCTTTCCAGTTATGTATTACAATTACAAGTTCGTCAAAATTGTCAACTGTGTCTGATCTACCAGTAAAGATGATCACGCCAACCACCAAATTTCGATGTACGACGATGAGAATGTCTAATCAATCACCCGAGTTGTGAGAATCAAAGCAGCATTGACACCACGCATAAGCTGATACATGTAACATTTTACTTGAGTGGAGAACAGGCCATTGACAGGTTCGGAAAATCCTTTAGGTATGATAAAGCCATGTGCGTTAGATCCGATCATCCCACATTAAAATTGTACTGTTCAATATGCTGAAGAAGCCGGGTAAACATATTCTTGCAATAAATCAAAGGAAAATGTTGGGGAAAAAGAGTTAAAAATATCCGACCTGCCTGGCTCGAACAGGCGACCTCAAGATGATCTTGTAATCTTTTGATTACTTCAATGTTTAGCCATTACAGTCTCGCGCTCTTCCAACTGAGCTAAGGTCGGTTGCGAACGGTGTGTGGTTAAAGGAAAAATATACAGGCTTATTAGGCGTTAGCCTTGACACCAACTGACCGGCTCAGAAGCCATCTGTTCATGGCTCTACCTCTAAGACGGTTGACGAAATATTTCTTCGTTCTCTGCTTAATCCTTATTGTTCGCTTAATATTTGGTTCTTCGTCCCAACCGCCGTCTCCTTCATCCGTATTGGAATTCAAAGGTCACAATGTATTCCAACGCGTAACTGGAACCGACAAATCTCTTAATGTCCAGAAATACAAGTTCATGCAGACACGGATGGGCAGAGATGACAGACCGGACATTTTCTCAGACTTGATTGCAGACGGTGTGAGGGACTATTGGGAGCGATTCCAGGCGCCTTTGTATGTTTCTTGATTCTTTCTCGCGAAACGCGTTAAACATTGAATGTAATATAGTATCACCGGAGCAGATACGGCTCATACAGACGTGCAAAATGTTCTCAACGCCATTGAACATCTGCTTTCACTAAATGGATGGGTTGCCGCATATTGCCCAACGCTAGTTCGCCCTTTTGGCCAGAACAAGAACGAGGATGAAGATGCGTATGATGACCTTGCCAACGAAGACCATCTCTATTACATAGGGATAGCAATACACTCCGCAGATCATTTCCTGGTGGATCAGCTTGCAGTAATCGTCCAACTCGCCAAGCGGTTGGGCACCTCAAACTTGTTCGTCTCTATGCTGGATTACGAATCCACAGACTCGACTTCGACATTGACGGACTTGTGTGAAGCAGTACTTACACTTTTGGGTGTTCCGTTCCGCATACGCAGGGTATCGGGGATGACTGAAGATCCAGCCGCAGCCTATTATCCTTCGGAAGAAGCTTATATGAGAAATCTGGCACTCGAACCTCTAGTCGAATTGAAGTCGAAACGCGACATCACATTCCATCGAGTTATCTGGATAAAAGGCTTCACTTGTCCAAATGATATTCTAGAAACGCTCAGAGTCAGTATTGCCAACGAGGCAGCTATGGTTTGTGGAATGGATTGGGCGGAATCTGGCGGCCATTTTATATTCTCAGATCGGTACGTCATTGTGTCAATGGTCCCATTTCCATTGAGCTGAAAGTTCTTGCACCCACTTAGTTGGAGGACACGCGATATACGTGGCGATCAATTCAGACAATCAACATCTTCCTCGAAACCTGACGCTGTTCCTCCTCGAGATGAGGTCGGTGCGGCGCGCTATGTCAAGCACTTACCGTTCCAAGTCTTTTGCTGCGAAGCGGGCACGCATGTCGTTGATCCTGCGCAGTCATACTACAAAGGAATCAAGTACCGGGCTGGGGCCGACTACCATAACGCATCATTATCGGAGGAAGTACCGCATAGAGCTCCTGATGCTCCTTGTCTTGACAGCACTCAAGCTTGGTTTTGTAGAGATCTATGGATTAGTAAAGCATTAGAGGGCGTTCACGAGAATGACGTGGAAGACGAACCACAACCTTTGGACACACCCAAGGATAAAAAAATACTTGCCCGTCGTCAAGCTCCTCCGGTAGACCCAGACGCCAATGCTGGATCTGACTATGATGCAATGCCAGACTCGGATCAACCGCTGGACTCATTACCCGCCGTTCGTTTGGCAGTACCCAATTCCGTATACGAACCCGCTCGTATACTCGTTAATCCTCGATGTGTAACGACTTATGCTGGTGTTAGCCATACCCAACTGGCATTGGACCTCTTCGGAGCGGGCGAAGACGAAGAATATCAGGGAAATAAAACGAAATACATATTGGAGGATTGGGAAGGAGCTCCCGAAAGCTTCGTGTGCCAAGAACAACGGTATGTGCCGTCTTATCCCTGCTTGTATGTAGCCCACCTGACACGTCTTTAGGCAAACTGGTGGGCGTCAAGCCGCAAAGACACAGCGGTTGTTGGGATTCTCCATTCACGATGAATTGCCCACGCAGTAGTAAACATTACTGCTATTTCATTGCATATATAGATTATATTATTTGCGCTTTATCCCAAACAATCGGAAACTTATTTTCAGCATGCTATTCAACGACCCATCTTTCTCCGTTTCTTGCCAAACCCTTTAAAAGTCGCACCGTCATCTGAGTCGTCATCTGCAATGATGGCGCGTTTTTTACCCGTTCGTTTGGTTGGCGGTATCGAAGGCGCGGGTTCCAGTGTTTCGCTATCGTCTGCATCAAGAACCTTGATTTCTGAAGAGCCAGTACGTATAGGCTTTTGATCCTCCTCATCGGTGTCCAAAAAGAGCTGCTCCGCAGATGCCTTGACGGCAGTTGCAGCGAGGGCTTGCTGGCTCGGTTTCCCTCCGAACAATGAATCGTCACCAAGGTTCTCTTCCTGATCGGAGTCGGACACTGTGAATGTTCGCCGCTTGTTCTTGACGGTACGGGCTTCCGATTTGGCCCTTTGACTTGCGGCCGGAGCCTTAGCTTGTGATGGTTGTGAATTATCTTTCCAATAGCCTGGGGGACAAGTACTGAGCGTTTACTCATCCCCGAAAAACTTCGATTGAACATACCAGAACCCATACCGTAGTCGTTATCGGTGTTGATCATAACCTCAACTGGCGTGCGCATGTTGACTCCAGATTTCTGTTTAACTCAGTTATCCAGCATACCGTTATACGAACAGCCCGTGCTCTCACCTTCTTGAACTTCTTGAAGTTAGGTCTGCTGTCCCAGAGAGGATTTCGACTGCCACCACCGATACGAGCGGTTCCGCCACTTTTATATATTTCCATGTCCAATATCATCATGAAATTACCTCGGATGTTCGGCACATCGTCAAAGTCCCCTAGTAGCCTCCAAGCTTCCTCCTGCTCTTCTCTTTGGAGATCGGGCTTTGAGATACGCAGATTGTTAAACTCGCGATCGAAACTATCTTCAGCCTTCTTTCCCCTCTTGGTTGAAGCCACAGCAGTTAAAAATGCTTCATCAGTGTCGACGGCGTGTTGTGTTGAAGTAGGCTTCTTCTGTTTCTTCGATACAGGAGCTTGAGTAGGCGCTACCGATTTATCGCGAGTTTGTGACACGCCCCGTGTAACCTGAGTAGCCTTCGCACCGTTGTTAGTATGACATGACTCAATCGGGATGTCTACTGCCATGGCATCGCCAGAATCAGGTGCTCGACGCCTTGTAGCAAAGGAAGGACCACTCTGTGGCGTCCCTTCCTCTTCCTCTTCCGCAACCACCTGCAATCGCGTCGCATTCCCAGATGCGGTGCGAATAGTATCAGTCTGTGTAAGGCTTTGACTTTCTCGCTGTTGCTCAGAGCCGTCGTTCACGGCGCTGTCGTAAGCGGCCTCAATGCTCTGCGTCCCATCATTGGCGCCTTTATCTGGGTCGCTCGCTTCGAAAAGGGCTTTGAACTTTTTAAGAGGGGGCTGCTGGGTCGTTTCTTCGTCGTCCATCATTAACATTTGTTCGATGGTAAGACGTGGAGCAGCAGTTTCGGCTCGCCTTTTTAGTCGAGTTGGCCGGGTGGGTGCCTATTGAGAAGTATTATTCTATAATGCCAGCGTGGTCTAAATAAGGGCTTACTGAATCATCTGGAGGTTCTGAAGGAGTTCTGGATTCTACAGGGGTTTCCCGAGACACGAGATGTATAGACGTCGTTGAATCATCTAGATTCACTCCTCGGGACGCAAGATGTGCGCGACGTGTGAGAAGCTAGAAAAAGGTCTATTCGGCATTGTAATTATACTTGCAATATCGTCTTACCTTCCGCGGAGGCGACGGTGGCTCGTCGTCCAATGATTGTGAGAGCTTTCGCTCCGGAACCTCACTAGGAGGTAGTGGAGCTGGAGGGCGACTAGCTTTTCTAGAGACCGGCTCCGACGCAGGTCCTGGGTACGAAGGTTCTTCTGGATGCGTATTTGGTATGTAATCAGGTAGGGGAGACTCCTCTCCCGTATCGGGAGCTGCAAAGACGTTTAGACCAGCGATTTGAGAGATAGGATACAGTACAGACCCTCTGGAGGAGCACCTTCGACCGCATCTAGATGTGATAGGTCCACGTGAATCGCAGCTTGTAAAAGAGACTTTGGGTCGACGGCATGTAAACCGAGGCTAAGAGAGAAATTAGTTACAGGTTGAAATGATCAGAACAAACTTGCCTTTTAGCGTCTGCAACAAAATCCCGCCAACTGTCTGAGCCAAGAAGTTCCTTCATCTTCCCGTCTTCGGCAACTATGATCAATTCCTTGCCAACAGAACCAAGTTCCTCCACTTTCCGCTTCCCTTTCGCTAATAACTGCCGCCATTTGCCATGCCCAGCCGTGATATTGAAACCCTCATACTCCCCGCCACCACGAACGACCAATTCTCTCAAACTGCCATCTACCTCGCCGTCTTTCGCTGCTACGAGAACGAATCTGTAACCTCGGAACATGTTGATGCGTTCTTCATTGGGCTCCCATATCTTGAATGTTTTAAGGGGGGTAGGTAGCGCTGGGGAGAACGTAGGCCGATATTTGGTCTCCAAAGGGGGTTGGAAGACTTGTTCCAACGCGGAAGGTTTGGACGAATCCCCTTCGTCTAGCGTGGTCCCGAGGCGAATAAGCTCCGTGAGCCATTCAGGCTTTACAAGCTGGGTAGCTGAAAGGAGAGACGTAACCGTTGGAGCAGACATGTCGAATTTCGGGGTTAGGTGATGCGTATGAAGAGGATGTGATTTCGGAAGAGCGCTGATGCCTGGTACACGTCAGAGGAGGTGTTACTGTTATTGCGATGCTTGGAACTGACCTATTGCGGCACATGTCTCCTGCGAGATAGAAGCATAACGAGTGGGCGGCACAAAACATGATACTCGCTGCCATCTCACTCTGTACGTCGTCAGCAGGTGGTGCAAGCAGCATAGAGCGAGAAATTGAGTAGCTTACTCCAACACGACTCCTGCTAAAATGCACACCCTGTCCCCGTCCTCCAGTTGTTGTAAAGACGACGCCTCGATAACCTGGGTTTCATCCCCGCGGGT